TCGGCTTCCGAATCTCCTTGCCACAGTCCACTCCTCTGCCTACCGGTCACTCGCTCTCAGCTCCACCTTCAGACGAGTCCGTAGAGCCGAGTGGCCCTTACCCAGAGCTTATGGGCTGCCTCATGTACCTGATGACCTGCACTCGACCTGACCTTGCGTACCCTCTTAGCATCCTTGCTCGCTACGTTGCGCCCGGGAGACACCGACCAGAGCACTGGGAGGCCGCTAAGAGGGTGTTGCGCTACTTGTGCAGTACATCGGACATGGGGCTCGTGCTTGGAGGACGGGGTCGAGTTGTCCTCACTGGACACTCAGACGCTTCTTGGGTTGACGACCTGGCTACGCAGCGGTTGTCACAGGGTTACACTTTCAGCCTTGGCTCCGGCTCTGTTTCTTGGCGGTCTACTCGCTCGTCTTCTGTTCTTAGCTCCAGTTGTGAGGCTGAGATCTACGCAGGAGCCATGGCTGCACAGGAGTTACGTTGGCTCACCTACCTGCTGACCGACTTGGGAGAGCGGCCTCGTTCCCCTCCAGTTCTGTACGTAGACAACAAGGCCGCGATTGCCTTGTGTCAAGAGTTCAGACTGGAGCACAGAACGAAGCAGATCGCTCTGCGTTACTTCCTTGCTCGAGAGTTGCAGTAGCGTGGTCAGCTTCGTCTTGCTTACGTGGCCAACTGAGCCAACATAGCTGATATATTCACCAATGCACTTCCGCCTGGTGATCATCAGCGTTTTTGTACTCCTCTGGGCCTTGTGCCTGCGTTGTCTCAGTTGCTCACTGCATGGATTTGCTTGTATTGTGATCCATATATATACCTTCATGTGTACTCTTGCTAGGTTGTGATCACTGTACTGTCTGTTCTTCTTTTATATTACTCTATATGTGAACTGGCCTTGTGGCCATTTGCTTGTGCTCGGACTGTGTGGTGACTTCGTGATCCACCCTGAGCTTGCTTTGCTTTTCCGTGTCTGCTTGTACTCCCCCACTTTGCCTATGGGGGTGTGTCAGAATATTGTGTTGTGTAGGCTGTAGTGGGGTAGCCTGTATGGGGTACAACCCAATTAGGGTTAATATTTGTACCCAAATTTTTCATAGTTCATTCATTCTCGTTCAGTTCTTTGACATGAAAATATCAGCAGTGTTGGCCCGTGTGGCCACGTAAGCAAGACGAAGCTGACCACACTGCTGCAACCTCGTGCAAGGAAGTAACACAGGGCGATATGCCTGACGTACCTAATGACGTGCACACGACCTGACCTCGCGATATGCAAGGAAGGCTGGAGAGACCGTAGGCTTGGAATTTGAGAGAGGCCCAGTTGATGTCACCGAGGCTGTGAATATCATTGAAGGGATTTTGTGCGACAAGTTCGGACCGGACCTGATGAGGCTGGACGAGGGAGATGAAAGTGTGACTGTGACTGTATGGGAAGGGACTGGAAAATGAAGGACGAGGGACCAAGGTGGGAAAAGGTGAGGAGGCCACTCAGGAGGGGAGCGTGGATAGAAGCGAAGTCAGCAGTTTAGGTGATACCAGCAGCAGCGGCAGCAGCAGTGGCAGCAGCAGCAGCAGCAGCAGTATCAGCAGCAGCAGCATCACCATTACCAGCAGCAGCGATTGCAATGATACCAATACCGACACTAGCAGCACCAGCACCGGTCCCAAGTCCCGTCGAGGCCGGCCCAGGCGCACCACAACCCACGGGACCCCTCTACAAATTTTCTCCTCCCTCGGCATTCACGACCCCGCCATCGTTGCGGGCATCATCGCCTCCTGCCCGACTTTCCTCAAGCCGCAACCCCTCTCCCACCTCCACCAGAAAATCTCATTTCTGAAGTCTCAGGGCGTTTCTTCTAGCGACATTGCGAAGCTGATTGTGTTGGATGCTGGGTGGTTACGGTCGTCTTTGGCTGGGCTACATGAGTCAGTCTTGTTTCTGAGATCTGCGGTGGTTGAGGAGGAGATGTTGGGAACGGTGCTGCTGCTTTCCCCCCCGCAACTCTGCTATCCCAGCACGACTATGGCAGAAATGATGCAATTCTTAAAGGGGCTGTTGGGCGAAGATGCGACCACCAGGGTGCTTCTTAAGTTCCCCATGGTTTTGAAAAAAAACGCGCGGAATCTCGAGCCTAAGATTAAGCTCCTGGGAAGGATGCTAGGGGCGGGTCTGGTGAATAAAATTATAGAACGGTTCCCGCCGGTGCTAAATGGGAGCTCTGCTTCACTCGAGAAGAATTTTGGCGAGTGGTGTACTGTGTTTCAAGGAGTGAAAAGACTACCTGAAGGCCTCAGGTGAATTCTTGGAAATTTGACTGCATACAAGGAGCAAATGTTAGAGGAGGAGAAGAAGCAGGGATAAGGAAGTGAGGGAAGGGAGGGGGAGGGGAAGCAGGGGAATAAGGGAAAGCAGGGGAATAAGGGGAAGCAGGGGAAGGAGGGGAAGGATTTAAGTAACGGATTGCTTCAAGATTCAGCAGCAAGGCATGTTGTGTGCCAGTTTGTCAACTTCTGGCCGTATGCTCTTTTCTACAGTTGTCAACATTGCCCCGAAGCTGCACTACCTGCAGCACAACATGAAACTGTCAGCCGTTGAGCCGTTGAGCCCCACTTTTCTGACACTTGGTCTGAGCCGACGAATCAGGCCTCGACACCTGACGCTAAAGATGAATGGGTATGTGGTGAAGCCGCATGAGGAGGTGCTTCGGAGTAGGAGTGGTGACGGGGAGGCCGAAGCTGGTCCTAAGGAGTTAGTGCCTCGGTTAGGGAAGAGGGAGCGGAAGGTAGTGTGTTTATCCCAGTTTCTTCCGTGCAATGATGCCATGTTCAGGAAAAGGTTTCTTCAAGTAGGAGAACAGCCAAGGGCAAGTGAGGCCGAACCAATTGCTGCTCCCTTGCTCAGTAACTAGTCTGTGTGTCTCAACGGAATGTTGAGCGTCGCTCCCTTTTGCCCATGGGAGTGACGGATCCGTCGCTCTCCCAGCGCCGGGTCGGCGGAACTAAAACCCTGCCAGCTGGGCCCTGTCGGGGCCCACTGAACGCGAACCCACTTCCCCGCCCCACCTGAGCTCCGCACCCCTCCCGCATGTCCTCCATCGGCGACGCAGAAACCAACCTGGCCCCGCGAAAGCAAATTCTCAGGAAGTTCACCTTGCGAAAACAAATGCGAACAAAAAAAGGCAGGCGAAAACAACAGGCCCAGGCAAAAACAACCCATGCGATCCATGCGAAGGAACACAACCCACCTGCGCGAAACAGAAGCCCCTGCGCGCCACAACAGACAGCCCTCACCGAGCTCACAAACGTCGCCCTTCGCAAGACGTTTGCAAGGCGTGAGCAAGGCGTGAAAGAGAATGGCTCATGCAGGACGTGACACGGCCATCTCCTCTCTCCTGCTGACACGTGCCACCCTGTTGGTTGGCGTGAACCATGCACCAGCAGCTCGCCCTCGTCCAATCCCACTCCCTTCCCATGCTGCCACGTGCGCGCTCAGCAACCTCCGCGCAGCATTGTAGATAGGGTTCGCGACTGACTATTGGCCAGCCAATCCACCCCTTGGCACAGCCAGTCCACACTTTGGCACAGCCAATCCACCCCTTCGCATGCTTCGACGAACGGACGAGATTCGTCACGCATGCCAACTGTGGACGTGACAGATCTTTCCTTGCTCCCGGACGTTGCTTGCACTGGGGGGGTATGTGAAGGACGAGAGTCTCATTTTTCCATTTGTTGCTAGGTTGTCCAGTTTTCTTTTCTCTTCTGCTCCCACCATCTTGCCTCCGCCCTCTAGCGTTCCTCTTCACGGCCCCAGTTCCCCCGTAGAGCATTAAGGACCTTTGACGAGGTTACCACTTTTGCTTTGGCATGCGCGCAGTTATAGTAGCATCGCGCTCACGAGGTGTAGTGTATCGTTGCTTCCGCATACGACGATGGGTGAACCCATTGACACGGCGTCCGTGCAGGCCTTCAAGCCCTTCCGTTATGTGCCTTACCTCAATGTCCCACTGGTGGTGACGGACCCCGATTAAGTCTCGCAGATGGACGAGAAAGTGGACTTCACTACCGCCACCATGACGTTGGCGCTGCTGTGAGTGCTTGCGCACGCTGTTTGTAGGGCTTAGGGCATACAGCGTACACCGTGCAGAGGATCAACTGGCTCATGTGCTACACGCGAAAATGTTTGCAGGCGCGTAGAGTCGATCGTGCAACCCAAACTCAACACGCGCCTAGTGCCCGCTGAGACTGTTAAGGCTCGAAGAGAGAGAGAAGTTTGGCATGCCTCCGACGATTCATCTTTGCGGCGGCGTTGCCATCGACGTGCCCATCGTTACAACGTGAGTTGATTCGGTTCTCAGTAACGGTGTTTTTTTCATGTTCAACCGATGTTTTATCACCTGTTGCGCAAGGAGCGTTGCATAGAGAGAACGGCCTACATCGTTCCCCTTATTGGTCTTTTGCCCTACCACAGCACGGAGGAACTCCAAAGCAGGCATTGCAGACTTCTCCTGGTGGCACACGCTAATGATCTTCGGGAACTCGCGAGCAAGAACCGCACGGTGGTTTTCCATGTGGACCCGAAAGCCAGACACCGCTTCCACAATGTCGTTTTCAAGACCGTGCACGAATGAGTACGAAGTCGTGCTCTGATAGATTCAATAAACCTTGTGCAACGCATTGGCACCCTCGTTTGTAATTGTCTTACGTAGGTGGATCATGGGCACTGCTCTTGCGCAGGCTCTATCGAGCTTCGGCGGGGTCGGCTTCGAGCGGCGGAAAGAGTCTGACATCGACGAACGTTTGAAGAGATGAAAGCACGTGGTTCATCTGGTGAGTGTAAGATGTCGCATACGCTACTGTTGCTTCGAGCCTATTCTTTGCATGATCGCTCACGAACGTATATCTGCCGCATGCGTGGGCTGCGCAGGATTGCGGTAATCTGAGAGACACCGCCACGAACACTGGCCTACTCGTGGTGGAGGTGTATAAAACGTTCCTCGACCACATGGAAGCCATCGTTGCGCAACCCTCGTCGTACGAATTCAAGCCCATGGGGCGCAAGGAGCAGAAGCTGTTCCGTCAACAGATTGCTCTGTACATTGAGGGTATCGCGCTCGGGCATAAGTTTGAAGGCGCCCTTTTGCAGCAAGGGACAGAAGCTTCTGTGGAGGATAGGGAGAATGCTGGTGGTAGTTCCGGGCACGCTGATGGGGGTTACGCTGGCGGTCGACTGTTACCACACCGCCCGCGGGAGAGGTTACGTTGCACAAGGAAGGTGTGGAACGGGCCAATCCCAGCGCCGGTAAGGGGAAGCCGAGGGATGTTGCCGAGGGGAGCAAGGGGAAGCCGAAGGAGGCGTCTGAGGGGAGCAAGGGGAAGGCAAAGGAGGTGTCCGAGGGGGATGAGTGGAAGAAGGAGAAGAGGAAGTTGAAGGAGAAGCTGGATGAGGAGAGGAGCGAGAAAGAGCATATGCGGGAGGAGTTGCGGAAGGAGGCGGAGCTTGCTAGAGGAAAAGGAGAAGGAGACCAAGTATGTCGGGCACGCGAACCAGGTACTTGATAAGGCGGCGGAGGTTTCTCAAAACGCAGCGGCCACGCTGGATCGTTCCCGAGCGATGCAAGAGACCTTTGCCAAGGGCGTCGAGCAGCTGGTGGTTGATCACACCAAGGCATCGGCGAAGACACGGAGACGGTGAAGTCTGTGGAAACGCCACTTGCTGGTGTCGGAGACCAGCTCAAGACGGCCGCGGAAGGTGCCGTTGCCGGGCTTGGGCCGCAGGTCGACAAGGCTGTGAAGGCCGCTGTGACGTCTGGTGTCTCGGATGCAGCGAAAACCCTGCATGACGTTCTCGTCGAAACCGTCAAGGGGGTGGTCAACAAGAAGCTGGAGGAGATGAAAGCCTCCATTGTCGCGCAGGTCGACAAACGTGTCCGCGAGGTTGTCGTTGAGTCAACCAAGGGTTTGAAGGCAGAGATCGTCTCCATGGTTCGGGATACGACGAGACAGGCCTTTGGCGAAGCTGGATTCGCAGCTCTTCCTAGCGTTTTTGGTGCAGCAACAGCTTTGGCACGCCAAGGTGGAGGAGGGGGTGCTAGTGGGAAGCATCCTCGTGGGATGATGAGAGTGATACGCGTGGTGGGTTGGCAGCAGATACGGTCCATGGCGAAGTCGCGCGGCAGAAACGCTCGAAGGCTGGCGGGATGGACAAGGGTGTGGGGGACGTCCCATCGAAACAATCCTCTCGTGCGGAGGGTGGTGTTGCCCCTTTGCACATAGACTTAACGCTGGGCACACTAATGGAGCGTGCGGAGGGTCGGGCAAACATCAGCTTGTCGCTTTGCAAGGGGTAGTTGCGGTCGGTGCTGGCAGGGCACATGGTGCGCCACCACGAAGCAGAGGTGGCATTGCGTTGGGCCTTCCGACGAGTCATCCCGTTGGTGTGCATGGGTCTGCTCACAATTTCCTGAGAGGGATGCGGGTCGCCTTGGAAACGGGGCGGAAACAGCACCCGGTGGTCGACCAGGGAGTTGCGGCACTCCGGGCCGGATTGCGTGAGCTCCAGCCCGCAGGCGATCACCATGTGCAGGCCCCGAAGGGTCTGTTAAGGCGGCCGCCGCGCGGACCCATGAGGTGCTGGGGGGGTCTCAAACACACGGTCATGATTTTATGGCAGAGATCCGACGAGCCATGGGACAAGTCGCGATGGAAGCTCCGGAGCAGGGTGTAGGGGGAATCGGGGCATGGTCGCATAGCTTGCAGCACCAGAAGGAACATGATGCTCAAGCGAGGCAGGGACGTGTCGTTGCTGCTGCAGCTGCTCCTATGGCGGTCGCATAGCACGGGGCCATTCCTGCCGAGGGTCCTCTCCTTTTGCCTGCGGACCTCTTTGATGTACATTTTGGGGATCTTGAAAGATACGAAGAGGAATTGGAGGAAGGCGCGCGCGAGGAGAATGCTGCGGAGGCAGTGGAGGTGAATAGGGAAGCTACAGCGGAAGGAGAGGGTCCAAATCCCGCGGACGGTGATGATAGTTTTGGCGCAGGTGATCATTCCACCAAATCCTTCAGTGGAAGGAGAGGCTGACGAAGAAGGCAGGAGTCGCAAGGGCAGCGGCATCCGCCCCGAGAGAGGTGGTCCTAGTTGGACAGACGATCTGGTGTGTGGCGGACGCTCCCGCAATTTGGGCTATTCTTTGAATCGTGAGGACGTGGTATTCAACGTGTCGGTGGCCATGGTTTGTCAGAAACTACAGGCAGGAGTGAATGCATTGAAAGAGAGTTGGGTACAAGTATAAAGCCCTAGAGGGGTTGTACCCCATATTGGCTACCCCACTACAGCCTATACAAATACAACATATTTTGACACACCCCCATAGGCAAAGTGGGGGAGAGCAAGGGGTCACAAGACCAGTTCACATGCAGAGGTATATATGCAACAAGCACAGTACAGTGATCACTACCTAGCAAGAACAAGCATGCAAGTATAAATATATGGATCACAGTACAAGCAGAGTCTACAGCAAGTGTGGAAACGTAGGCACAAGGCCCAACAAAGTACAAAAGCGCTGATGGTCACCAGACGGAAGTGCCTTGGTAAATATATCAGCAGTGTTGGCCCTAGTGGCCACGTGTGCAAGACGAAGCTGACCACGCTGCTGCAACTCTCGAGCCAGGAAGTAACGCAGAGCGATGTGCTTTGTTCTGTGCTCCAGTCTGTGCTCCTCACACAAGGCAATGGCGGCCTTGTTGTCGACGTACAGAACTGGAGGAGAACGAGGCCGCTCTCCCAGGTCGGTCAGCAGGTAAGTGAGCCAGCGTAACTCCTGAGCAGCCATGGCGGTGGCGTAGATCTCAGCCTCACAACTGGAGCTGAGAACAGAAGACGAGCGAGTAGAACGCCAAGAAACAGAACCGGAGCCAAGGCTGAAAGTGTAACCCTGTGACGACCGCTGCGTAGCCTGGTCGTCAACCCAAGAAGCGTCTGAGTGCCCAGTGAGGACCACGTCTCTCCGCCCTCCAAGCACGAGCCCCATGCCCGATGTATTGCACAAGTAGCGCAGTACCCTCTTTGCAGCATCCCAGTGCACCTTTCGGTGTCGACCAGGAGCCACGTAGCGTGCCAGAAGGCCAAGAGGGTACGCAAGGTCAGGACGAGTGCAGGTCATCAGGTACATGAGGCAGCCCACTAACTCTGGGTAAGGACCACTCGGCTCTACGGACTCGTCCAAAGGTGGAGCTGAGAGCGAGTGACCTGTAGCCAGAGGAGTGGACTGTGGCGAGGACCAGGTGAAGCCGAAGCGCTGAAGAACCTGCTGCACCATGTGTGACTGAGTCAGAGTGATGGTGCGGCGTGCTCTGTCCTGGGTTTTCTGCAAGCCAAGGTAGCTGCGCAGCTCACCCAGGTCTGTGCACGTGTGTCTCTTCTGCAGCTCCGACTTCACCAGGGCGAGAGCCTCAGTATCAGCAGTGGCAAAGACCAAGTCGTCGACGTACACGAGGATGTAGAACGGTGGCAGCGAACTGTTGGTGCGAAGAAACAGCGACGGGTCAGCAGTGGAAGGAGCAAACCCAAGAGCCGCAAGTGTCGTCCTCAGTGTGTCGTGCCACTCACGAGGCACCTGGCGGAGACCGTAGACTGGCCGCCGGAGGCTCCACTGGGCTCCAGGCGGGAACGACCCAGTGAAGCCAGGTGGGCGGCGCAGCCAGATCTCCTCGTGCAGGCTGCCCTGTAAGAAGGCTGTGCTGAAGTCCAGCGAGTGAAGCTCGTAGTCACGCTGAGCGGCAACGTGCAGCAGTACCCGAAGAGTGGTCATCTTTGGGGTGGGAGAGAAGGTCTGGAAGAAGTCGACTCCCTCTCGCTGACTGAAGCCTCGTGCAACGTAACGAGCCTTGAAGGCAGGCGGAGAACCCGGCGGCCGCTTCACCCTGAAAATCCACATGCCATCGACGATGTTCACCCCAGGAGGGGGAACCTCGTCGACGTAGGTGCCTGTGGACTTCCAGAATGCCATCTCTGCGTCCATGGCTGTCTGCCACTAAGAGGAGTAGGGACCCGCAATCGCCTCAGCGTAAGAGCGCGGGGTAGGGATGTCTGGTGCATCCGGGTCTCCCTCAGGGGCAAGCAGCATGGCCACGAGATGAGGCGCAGCGGCCGCAAGACACTCAAGGTCCTCCTGTCTATCCTCAAGGACGTCCGTGCCAAGAGCACACTCACCCCCGACGGACGGAGGACAGACAGACGCAAACTCAGCAATAAGACGAGCGGCGTAGTCTAGACGACAGGCAGCAGCAAAGTCAACAAGCTCAGCGACCAAGGCAGATGCAGCAGCAGACTCAAACGACGGGTCAGTGACAACAGTGGCTAACAGACGCGTGACAGTAGGGTGGGCAGCACGAAACTGGTCAGACTCAGGGTCCGCAAGGTCAGGCAGAGAGGACGCAGGGGGGGACGGCAGAGGAACACGCTGCGGAGCAGAGGAAGGACGCAGGGCTACGAGGTGGGCACCGGGGACAGCCGGCTGACGCGGACGAGGAACACGACGACCGGTACGACCAGAACGAACAGGCGAGACAGGACGCGACGCAGGCTCACGATGCTCAGCAAGACCTCCGGTCTGCTCAGTTTAAGGAGAAGGAGCAGGCAGCGGTGAGCCAGGCTGTAACGGAAGACCAGTAGAAGACGGGAGGCTAAGAACCTGGCGAAGCACAGAGTCAGGCGGTGGCTGAGACGACGGAGACGGCAGAGCGAAGAACAGTCGTGTCGGCGGTGCAGTGCCACCGGCACCAGCAGCTCCAGTACCTCCAGCAGCTCCAGCACCCCCAGCAGCTCCAGAACCTCCAGCAGGTTCTAGCACCTCTAGGACCAGCTCCACCAGCAGCAGCACCCCTAGAAACGGTACCCCCAGTCCCAGGGTCTCCAGCCTCAGTGTCTCCAGCAGCAGCACCCCCAGACACAGCACCTCCAGTCCCAGCAGCTCCAGTACCTCCAGGACGAGCACCTCCGGGACCAGCGACTCCAGCACCTCCAGTAGACAAAGGACCAGTACCACTCCCAGCTCCAGCGACGTCAGCAGACGCACCTCCAGCGGCAGAGCTACGAACTCCAGCAGCGCGACCCAGACGGCGACCGTACCAGTCGTGCAGCTGCTGTGAGGTGAGAGGCACACGCGGACGAAGGCGGCCACTCCAAGGAGACTGCGCACCAGCAGTCTCAGTACCCTCAGGCGCCGCACCCCCAGACTCAGCACCCCCAGACTCAGTACCTCCAGTATCCTCACGCTCAGGCTCAGCACCTCCAGGCTCAGCACTCCCAGGCTCCTCACGCTCAGGCTCTGCACCCCCAGGCTCCGCACCCCCAGGCTCCGCACGCTCAGGCTCAGCACCCCCAGGCTCCGCACGCTCAGGCTCAGCACCCCCAGACGCAGGACCACCTCCAGTAGGACCTGAGTCACTAGTGACCTCAACCGGCGCAGTCAAGGGAGAGTCTACCTGAGGCACACCTGAAGGAGCAGGACCTGGAGGGGGGAGGGGGTCTACCTGGGGAGGACCTGGAGCGAGAAAAAACGGCGGGGGGGGGAGAGGGCAAGTGCGGTAGGGAAAGAGACAGTAAAAGGGGACCGACTCATCGAAGGTGACGTCCTGAGACGCAAAGACGCGGCGCGAGGCGGGGTCGTTTAACTGCCAACCAGGCACGTCAGGAGGAAAGCCAAAAAAGACACAGGGAATGGCGCGAGCAGAGAGCTTGTCCGCGGTGAGATCGCGGACAAAGGCACAAGCACCCCAGACCCGGAAACGCGACGCATCGCCAACCTCCCCCGTCCAACGCAGCGTGGGGGAGGTCTCCCGCAAGGAGACACGGGGCCAGAGGTTGAGCTGATGCGCGGCGTACCGGACCGCAAACGACCACAGAAAATGGGGGGCAGCCGCATGGATCATGGAGGTACTAAGCCAATGCGGCGCTCAGCAACCCCATTCTGCTGCGGAGAGGCCGGAAGCGTGAACGTCTGGCGGATGCCGTGCTCCTCACAGAAGGCTCGCAAGAGGTCAGAGGAGAACTCACCACCTCGGTCAGAGTGCAGACGCAGGACAGGGAAGTCCGAGTGGAACCGCTCGCGGAGCTGGAGACGAACAGCACGGATCCAGGGGATCAGAACATCAGGGACCTGACCCTTGCGCTGCAAGGGGAAGACCGTGGTGTAGCGTGTGTAGTCGTCGATGACCAGCAGGAAGTACCGCTCGCGGCCCTGCCCCTGGACGCGGGCGGGGCCCCACACGTCC